ATCCATCTGGTGATGATACTGTCTAACCCACATTTTTCTATCTAATCAAATAGTAGGTTGTAGTCTACTTTATCAAATGCCTTACTGAAGTCCAAGTACATAATATTCACAGCATTCCTCTGGTCCACTAATTTTGTCACTTGATCAAAGAATGCAATAAGATTTGTCTGGCATGAACTGTTTTTGACAAACCCATGTTGGTTTTTAGTAATGACTTTGTTTGCCTCTAGGTGTTCGTTGATTTGTTGTTTAATTATCTTTTCCAGGATTTTCCCAGGTATTGAGATCAGGCTAATAGGTCTGTAGTTTCCTGGATCCACTTTTTTCCTTTTTTGAAGATGGGAACTACATCAGCTCTTTTCCAGTCCTCTGGTAGTTCCCCAGTGCTCCAGAATCTTTGAAAGATATAGTTCAGTGGTTCTGAAAACACATCTGCCAGTTCCTTGAGAACCTTGGAGTGTAATCCATCTGGTCCTGGTAATTTGAACTCATCTATAGTGGATAGGTGCTCACTTACCATTTTCTTGCCTATGTTAACTTGTGTTTCTAATCTATTTTTTATGGTACTGTTTTTGATAGGTCAGAATGTTTTTTCCCTTTGTGTAAAGATGGATGCAAAAAATGAGTTGTTCTGCTTTCTCCCTGTTGCTTGTCACCTTCTTGCCATTTTCTCCCACTAATGGACCAATCATTTCCTTAACTTTTTTCTTGTTTTTTTACATGTTGAAAGAAGCTTTTTTTTTCTTATTTTTGATGTTTGTCTCAAGCCTTAGTTCAGTGGCGGTAAACCTATGGCATGGGTGCCAGAGGCGGCACTTGGAGCCCTCTCTGTGGGCACATGGGCCATTGCCCCAGCCTCACCTCCCCTGCAACCCCCTTGTTTCCAGCAGCCCCCCTGAAGGAGAGTTGCCCCTGAGTGTGGCCCACGTGGAGCAGCACAGCCAAGGACATGGCAGCCAGGTAGTGTAGACAACACTCTGCCCTCACACCCCATTGTGCACAGTTTATGCTGCAGGGCGTGGGCAGAGGGCGTGACCGCCATAGTGCTGCTGGGCTGCCTGGGCGATCTGCTGCGGGCCCTGGAGGCGGTGAGTGGCCCTGCGAGCAGGTGGGGTGGGAGATGGGGTGGAGTGGGGGCGGGGCAGGGGATGGAATGGGGCGGGGCCAGTTTTGGGGCAATCAGTCTCTAAAAGGTTTGCCATCACTGCCTTAGTTCATTTTGAGCCTTAGCTTTCCTCACTTCATCTTTTCAGGCTCAGGCTATATGCTGATATTCTGCCTTTGTTATGTGCCCCTCTTTCCACTTTTTATACTTGTCCTTTTTGTCTTTCAATTTATCAGAGAGTTCTTTATGCAGCCATGCTGGTTTCTTTTGAGAGCTGTTATTTTTGTTCTTCGTTGGTATTGTGTTAGATTGGGCTTTTATAATCTCACTTTTCAAAATTATATAGGGTGTTTCATTTTGATTTAGTGAACTATTTGGACTCAGTCGTTTTCATACCTGTGGGTTAAGTAGGTTAATTGTTAAAATTGTCCACACAGTGCCCATGATGGTATGACCCATGCTATGCCTGTGGTTGATGTGTATTGCATGCAACACAGATTAAAAAAGAACACTGTGGTGGCTGCCATTTTAACTTTTTTGACCACATGCTACAGACACTCCAGCCCTTTGCCCTTTTATGAGAATACTTAAAGAAGATCTGCTTTCATTATAAAAGGGATATAGAATTGAAAGACATGGTTGTAGAAAGGTGCTTCTAATTTTCTTGCTCTCCTTTCCTAGGTGCTTCTTCTGACTTGGGCTGTAGCTTCACTCAAATATACTTGTGTGTTGATGCAGTAGGAAGCCATTGCTGATTATATTCCATTTGGTTTTCTTTTCACTAAGAATGATAAGACTGACCTTAGGAAGCCTATAGAGCAGGGATCTCCAAAATTGGCAACTTTAAGACTTGTGGACTTCAACTCCCAGAATTCCCCAGCCAGCATAGCTGCCATAGAGGAACTTTGCAGACAGTTCTAAGCTTGATTGCTGAAGCCTGGCTTGCTGAAGTCAATAAATATGCTTACAGTTGCAGCTTATAACTTCTCTCAAACACAAAGAACTGTATTCAGGATCCAGTTAATACTAATAAAAGTTAGAACTGTTATGCAGCACATTTAATACTAATTTCAATTGGCCATATAATAACATAGTTATCTGGATCAGTTTTCAGTCTTTGGTCAAGAGTGTAGAAAATGGAAGGTATTTCATTTCTCAAAGTTCATTTCTAGCGATGAAAATAAACTAGACATATGTAAAAATTGCACCAAAGGGAGCCTCACAGATCAAGGATTTATTTCTATGAACAGATTTAGCTATTTTGAATCTGTTCGTTATTCAAACAAAGGAAGAAAAAGTTCTGACAAACAAGAGGTGCAATGTGCAAAGAATGTTCCTATTGTTTATTAGTATTCCATTATACTGTTAAACATGTGCTCCAGTTCCAGAATTCTGAATATTGGGTTTATAATGAAATGTTTGACATTGTTGCACTATTTACAGAAAATTGTAATTATCAAGTCTCCCTTTAAGACTTTTATATTTTCTTTAGAATAAAATGTGATGAAATGCAAAGACTGCAGCTGTTACACAAAAAGAAGTGGGTTTACCTTATGCCTGCTGGTACATGCACACATAAATGCATATAAATATTAGCTATAAATATCTCTATGCAAATCTCATATTTAACAAAAAAACACCATCACGATTATTTTCAATGGATGACAATGATTAAGTCAATTGTTTTGATGCCCAGCTCTCTAAGGTATTTTTGTACAGATAGGAATTCATAATTTCAAAGATTCTTATACTCCAGTTCTGAATAGTGAAGTTATTATCATCCTTACTATTGTCCTTGTATAATACCTGAAGGCAAAATAAAAAATGCACATAATAAAAGAAAATAAACTGTGAATGAAAGTATTTTATAACCTACTTTTTTTTTAAAAAAAAATCACCAGATTTCCTAGGTAGTAATTCTCACATTATGGACCTAACTTGCTTGTCCTTTATCATAACTCTGTAGTCACAATCATTTGTCACATAAATGGAAATAATACAATAATATTCATTCTCCTCAAAATGGAAATGATTTTGATTCAACACATACAGTACTTTGATACAGTACAGGCATGCCCATGTTGGAGAAATATCTGTGAGCTTAGAAGTCTAAAACCTCAGCATATTTCATCAGTTGTTAATCCCAAAATATGAAGTGGCTAAATTGCATGAGGGGATGGTTCATCAACACATCGCAGTTGCAAATTTCAGTAACTTTCCTGAGAAAGGAGGGCAAAGGTGTAAGATGGCCAATCCAGACTGAATGCTGGCATGGGCATCTCATGGTACCAGCAAAGGGGGAGGAGAAAAGTTCCTTCGTTCCTTCACTAAGAAGCCACGCAAGTTGGTGTTTCCCCATTCCAGCATTACAGTTCCTGGCCTCTGTTGGAAAAACTGGCAAACTTTATGCGTAGAATTCCATACGTGGAATCAGTGAGAAAAACAAGATTTGTGAATGTCTTGAGAGAATGGCATTGAGAGAAACATTAAAACATTAAGGTTCTAATGCTTTTAGCCATTTGTGCTTGATAAAAACAGTAGCGGTATTAAAAGATTTGTATGTGTTGGCTTGTTGGCATTCTCTGGCTCCAAAACGTTTTCCCGAGAATCTCTCCCTTGTGCCTTGCAGCAATGATCTCCAGGTAACTACATGCCTTTCATACTTTTATTGGTATTTTAGAGTAGGTGAAGGATAAAGACATTTGCTGAAAAATTAAGGTGAATTTACTTCTTTTATGTGTTGCCAGGCTTTATGCGAAATGAAAATAAAATGCCTTTCTGCTTTCATAGGGCTAAGTAATTGATTATACTTTTGAAGAGTCATGGAAGACAATGAAGTTATTTCTTTCTTTTCTGACTTTCAAAATTAATGCTATATGGAGTTTTCAAATAGCTATTGTCGTTGCTATTTGCTATGCAGGGGCATTCTCCTACATTGCTGCTTCTACTAATTGTGTTTCAATTTAATGAAAGAGAAACTTAGACCAATTTATTTTATCTTATTTATTGTATCAATTTATATTGCCCCCCAAAATAAAATAAACCACAATAACTATCAGGTGAACAGCAAAAAATAGTATAAATAGAAACTGTGTCTGAGGCAATTAACTCAGCTCCAACATACACATATAAACACACACACACACACACACACACAGAGACACACAAATACATACACAGAGCACACACATCCAGTAGACTTTTCTTATGAGCTCTTGTTCAATAAGCAAGTTGATAGTGAAGAATAGATAGGTTTCTTCCTATTAATGGTGGAAAACAGTAATTCCAGCGTAATCAGTGGCTTCTCCTTTCTCCAGAATACTTCTGGGCTTTGCAAGGGGCTTGCAGAGGTTGGAGAGTTGATGCTCCTATTTCAGTATCTACTCTGCTTTTAGCTACAGTTTTGTCTGCTCCAAACAAATATCAGCCACCATTAAAAAAAATTGAATTCCTCCATAGCTGTAGGAGCTAGATTTTTTTTTCCCTGAGGAAACACCCTGTGGTTTTAGAAAAGTCAGCTTGCCTTTGGAGTGAATATAGTTTTCAACCAAGATGTTCATGTTCCTATATGAAGGTGACTAATAAGAACTTGCTTGTGCACCAGTCTTCAATGAATCCTGTCAAAAGCAAGAAGTCAAATCAGAATCAAAATGGTTTCTTTTTCATTATTTCACTGTGGCATCTCTTAATCTGGGATGATGGGTACTGTTGAACCTGAAATGTTTTGTCATTTAGCTAAGACTATAAATAGATAAATTGTGTTAATCAATCAATAACATGCAAGATCTTTTGAATGCGACTTCACTCTCACATAATTTTTTTTTGTTCTCTCTCTCTCTCTCTCTCTCTCTCTCTCTCTCTCTCTCTCTCTCTCTCATCCTTCTACCTCATAAAGTTTTTAAGAGTGGAACAAGACAAAGACAAAGAATGTAGTCTGGAATGCACAGGTTCCCCTCAAAAGTCATTGTGTGCTTCAGATGGCAGGACTTTCTTGTCTCGATGTGAGTTTCTACGGGCAAAATGCAAAGATCCTCAGCTAGACATTGCCTACAGGGGAAACTGCAAAGGTAAGGAAATTGCCAGATATTCTATAGACACAAGGTGACAATTTTTATTGTTTTAATCTCAGTCTTAGAATGTCAGCTCATTTTTAAAAAAAAATCAGTACAGGATGAAACACGAGGGGCAGGTAGAAAACCAATTGCATCAATTTGGATTTGCAAATCAGGTACCACATTGTAGCCCTGATGTTCCAGGCTCTTGATAGTTCATCATGAATCACTTGCAAACTCACATCTCGTAGATGTGGCAAAATTATCTATACAAAGGAGCGATGTTTGTTCCCTAGATAATGATTACATCCTTTATATAACTAAAATATGGGATACAAAGTATTAAACATATATTGTAGGTTCCATGTATAAACACTATAGCACAAGCAGAAATCAGCAATGAATTCTTTATTTCCCAATGAAGTTTTTTCTGTGATGTTTATGTATAAATAAGAATCCAATTAAGGAAGCATTAATTCAGTATTGCTTGAGAGTGCTGTGTTTGCAGGTCCATCTTAATTTATTGTCTACTGTTTGTAGCAAGTAGTGGAAATAGTGGTAAAGAATCTTTATTCTTAACTGCATTATTTATTTATTTATTTATGAGACTTATATACCGCTTTAAGTGCAAGCACTCTCTAAGCGGTGTACACCAGTAAGCAATGTATATATATATATATATTTACATTGCCCCCAACAATCTGGGTCCTCATTTTACCTACCCCGGAAGGATGGAAGGCTGAGTCAACCTTGAGCCAGTGAGATTTGAACCGCTGACCTGCTGAACACAGTCAGATAAAGTGGTCTGCAGTACTGCACTCTAACTGCTGCGCCACCTCGCCTTATGTTCTGGACTTAAAAATATAAATGCAAGATGAAAACAGCAAATTAAGGTATTGCTTCATCCATGAAATCAAAAGCTGATGCTGTACATCACCAAGAAGGAGCATTAAAATAGGTGGGACTTGAATGCAGGAAACTGTTAATGAAACACACAAGGACCTAAAAACCTTCAGTATTTCTGTTTGGATAGATTGGTTCTGCAGTTATGTTTTATTCAGTTTACCACTCAAATACAGGTAATCTTTGCTTATTGAACGCTCATTCAGTGACTGTTCAAAGTTCCAGCTCTTGCATCACCATTGTCACATGACTAAAAACTGATGCCTTACAATCAGCACTTACAATGGTTTCAGGGCCCTGCCGCCACACAATTGCCACAGGCTGATAGCTTCCCACTCTTCTTCTTCTTGTGCCATATCCGTTATCGGACTTTGGTGATCATGTTGGCAATCCTGTTTTTATCAGCCGCCGCATGAAAAAGTGCTGCTGAGTTTTGTCCAAACCAATCCCTTAGATTTTGAAGCCATGATGTTCTTCTTCTGCCTGGACCTCCTTTGCCTTCAATCTTTCCCTGGAGGATTAAATGAAGTCAAGTCAATGGGGAAGTCAATGGGGAAGCTGGCAGAGAAGGTCACAAGTCTTTCTGATAAGTCTCCCCTACGCAACAGCAGCTACTCTTGGCCCTGCAGCTCTGGTGACGCACCTCACTGGCTGGCCATGCATACCTTGTATCTGGCAGCAGCCACCCCCAGCCTCAAAACTGTTTGTGTACCCTCCCTCACCCAGCAGCAGTCACTTCCTACCTGCCAACCTACTTACAAGCCCCCTGGAGTTTGCAACTTCCTGCTGATTTCCGTACAGACTTTGTTTGTAAGAAGCTGCAGGAAGTTGTGCTGAACAACCCCCAACCCTCATTTAATAACAGCAATGAAGTGATACAGTTATATGATGTCCCACTTTACCACAGCATTATTTAGCAGGGGAAATTCTGGTCCCAATTATCCTTGCTAAGCAAGGACTGCCTGTGGCACAAAATAGAGTCTGAAGGAATAGGATGTTAAAAAATACTGGCCTGTTTGTAATGTTTAGACAACACTGTAATACCAGCTTCATTCTCCATAAAGAGTGTGTAAACAAAGAATAGTGAAAAAGGCTAGAACAGAAGCAACCAGAACTGAAATATTTCTAAATAACTTATTTACATATTGGAAAAAAAATGTTTGCAATCACAATACAGCTATCAAATTCTATACACATTTTTTTTGTTGATTATCTATTTTTGTATCCAGATATTCTTGATTGTGCGTTGTTTCTGATTAATCTGATGGAACTACTCGGAGTTTTGTATTGTTTGGCCAAGGAAAAAGTTAAGAAGCTTCCTATTTTAACTGCAGGGTTTGATTCTCAGCACCAATGATCACAGAGGTTTACCTTCATTTACACTTTATTGAGAAAGTCTCTCTCTCTCTCTCTCTCTCTCTCTCTCTCTCTCTCTCTCTCTCTCTCTCTCTCTCTCTCTCTGTGTGTGTGTGTGTGTGTGTGTGTGTGTGAGAGAGAGAGAGAGAGAGAGAGAGACATCTTTGAGAGACAGTTTTGTGCATTGTGCATTCCTCATTTCTCTTAGCTTCAAAAAGCCTTTAAAGCACCAAGAATTCTTTAAGAGACATTCTGTCTCATCCTTGTTCTGGCTTAAATAAAGCATTCTGTAATGCTTTTTTTTTTAATTGTCTAAATGGCTCTACCTTTGTCTATGCTCAGCAACGATAAAAATCCTCACAGCCTTGAAATCCAAATTCCTGTTATTTTCTGTGATAATACAAAGATCTTTTAACAACCACAGAGCTGCTTTGCCCAGCCTGGTGCCCATGTTCTTAGCTACAGTATATTTTTCTGAGATTATAAGAGTTGAGATCCAGCATCTCTGGATAGTAATGAATTGGAAAAAGATTTCTTTTGACCATAAAGAACTTCTAGGATTGTCCCTTATAGAGCAATGCTGAAAACAATATGAATAATTTAATTGCATTGTAAATCCAGTGTGTGTGTGTGTGTGTGTTCAGGGACCATAGTATAAAACACCTCCTTTCCCTTACTTTTTTTCCTTTCTTTCACTCTGAAGTTCTAGTGACGGATCAAATTTTTCATCCCTTTATGGAGTTCGGTGGATGTGTTAAGTCTAGCACAGTTCTGACTACACAATATGGGAGTGTTCTAGAGTCACACATGTATTATAGCATGTAACCTGCTCTGTGAACATATTGCACATACCAGGCTCAGCATCTAAGTATCAGTTAGCTGTGAAAATGTCAAAGGAGAACTTTGCCTTTAAAATTGTCCTTATTTCTTCCCTTTAAATCATATTAATAACTAAACTAGTGGTCAGGTTAAGACTCATCTCTCTATTCTCTTTCTTTCCTGCTAAATATCTATGGAGATTCTCAGTCATCCAGATCATGGTTATCCCAAAGGTGCATTTTCAAAAGGCAACTGGACTTTGGGTTTGTTCTTACTAGATGTATGGCCTGTTAATTGGATTCAGCAGTCATCTTGTCTGAGGAAAGCTCTTTGGATAACATTGCAAATGAATTAGTTTAGTCTGTATATGAGAGCTTCCTAGCTTGTTTTCTGCACTGGATTTTGGACTCTCATCCTCAAATCTTGCATTTGTTCTTAAAGCTTGGTCTTGTGCAGCCAGAATTACCTTCTCTGTCTCTTTCTTCAGCTTTTCTCTTAGCCATTGTTAAGTCTAGTTGTTATTTGCTTAACTCTTTTTGTTGTTGTTATGTGTATGTGTGTGTGTGCTAACCATGTAATCCTTTGCCTCTTTTTCTGTTCTTCATTTGGTCCTTCTTGTATGCCAGTTTGGTCTCTCCATACGCTTTCTTTCTTTCTTTCTTTCTTTCTTTCTTTCTTTCTTTCTTTCTTTCTTTCTTTCTTTCTTTCTTTCTTTCTTTCTTTCTTTCTCTTCTTCACTGTCCTTCAGATATTCTTCCAATACTCTTTTTTTCCCTTCAACTGTCTGGTGTTATTAATAATCCCTTTCCTATTATTTTTCCAGATTTTGGTAACTCTAATAACCTTAAGTTTTGAAAGCTCTGTTACTTGAAACTTATTGGAGACCACTCAAACATGCATTTTCCAGGCGAGTTTGCTGGTTTCAGAACCTCAAAGATTGCAGCACATGTTCACCAATTGAAGGTCTTTCTTATATGATTAAAGTGAAGGAAATCTTTTTGTTGTGGATAAATTCTGCACTCCCTGATGCACTGGTTATAAAATGAGCTAGAATGAGTGCTAGAATTTAGAATTTGGATTTAGATAAATTTCCATGGTTTTAAAAAAATCTTGTATTTTGCAAGAAACAAAAAGAATAAGGCATGTGTTTATCATTGTAGAGATCAGTGCTCTGTAGTCTCCTCAACTTCCTACTCTTTCATGGGGAAGTCACCATGAAGAAATTCACCTCATTGAACTTTTTCAGAGAAAGAGATGAGGGCAAACAAGAAGGCTTCCAAGTGTTATAAAGACATATAATCAAAAGTAACAATAATGGCACAGGCAAGCACTGGCCTTCAAATAGTAAAGAAAACTACACATCACAAAGAGAAATTGGAAATAAGTTCTCATATATTCTAAGCATAAAGTATTCTTCAAGCAGCCTGGTGCTGCTTGTAAATGTGACAGGCTTTATAAACATTAAAAAGAAATGTAGAAGGGATCTTTCAGCCACCTCAAAAAACAGCATTAACTAAACACAACACAAATCATCCACCCCACAGATTTTCCTCTGGTGAGAGACAGAATAGCTCCTGGAATTCCTTTTGGCTGCCTCCCCCCCCCCAACAAAGAAATATCAAATTTGCTTTCTCTGGGATTCTGGATGGAATTTGTGTTCAGTGTGCTCATGATCAGGCCCATTGAATTTGGTTTGGCAATTAATTATGACCAGTGACGAGCATGCTGGTTTAGTTCAGCCCTCAAAGCTGCCTGCCAGTGGTATGTGCTATGTGGTGAGATGAATTATTGTTCCTTCCCCTTAATGATGGTGATTGGGGTGACTCAGTGTTGAAGGCATCAGTAGCTATTTGTCTATGCCAACACCTCATGCAAAGCCTGCCACTATGAGGATTCTTGAGAGAGTGTGGATATGTGTGAGATATTCTCCTACATAG